AAGAGCAGGCTTCTGTTGTTCTGTATGCATGCGATTAATCCATATACACCATCAGCAGGCATGGTCATTGAGGGTGGGGAGGGAGGAAGCCAGAAGGATGGCATTGACATCAGTGAAGAGGAGAGCAGTTAAGGAAAGCTAATGTCATATTGTTCCAAAGGCTTCAGTACTTTCTCAGTCACTGTCCCTGGACACGTGTGCAGATCATGAATTCTGACTTCAATCTTTCTTTCTAATTTGCAACTCAAGGTAAGTGACTCAGAAAGTATTGTGGCTAGAGACAACCAGAAAACTGGTATTCTTAAAATGAGGTCAGGAATGGCAGCCCTGGTATTTCTCTCAGTAAGGGGTTCCTCTAAAGCAGAACTCCAGATAGATTTAAAAAGCAAAGAGTAAGTGTTGAGCTCATCAGCCTGCTGCTTTTCTTTACTGTCCAGTCACAGGTTGGGAAAAGACAAGAACTGAAAGTGTTACTTAACTGCAGCAGAGAAAAATCAGGTCTACTTCCCTGCCAGAGACGGCTGCACTATGTGGTAGAGCTGTTTACAACTTGATACTGGATGGACAGACATACAAATTCATTTTCAGGTTAAACAGCCCCCTCATGGGCTGGATTTTTCCATCTGTGTATTTAGCTGTTTGCATGGAATTCAGCTTTAAGTCTTTGAATTTGGAATTGAATCTTACAGAGCAGTTTTAACTTCCTAGTTGAGCATGCACCCTATTACACAGCATTTTTGTGTATGCAGCACATCCTATACTACTATGCTTCACAATTTGATTTTGAAGCTCAAGAAATTTTAGGCTTGAACATATTTTTAGCCAATAGTTATTAGGAGAAAGAGATGCCATAAAATTGCATGAAAATGCGCATAATGCTAATTTTTAAGGTACTCTCATTAAAGTATATAGGGCCTAAAATGTACAATTCTGCCTTATATAATACAAACTCATGTATTTTTTTGAGCTACAAGTGACACAACACTCGAATGTGAAGGGGCACCATTGAAAATAATAAGATGTTGAGCATTGTTGCACTTCAGGAAAAACACAACAAAATACTCAGGTCTGCAAGAAATCAATTGGAATGAACTATATTCACATACAAAATACATGTAAAGGCATCACAGATGCTCCATAAAAGCATTACAAATGTATCGTACACGTTTCAGATCCAGTGGCTTTCCTATAAGCACTTGAATGCATGATTTCTAATGGCTAGATTTGACATGATTCCAACTTTGGTGCCGATGTACACATACCCTAACCAGAGATCACTTCCAGCCATCTAGACTGGAAGACTTATTTATGTATTTATTACAGGCATGTATATTGTGCCAACAGTTTACACAGTGCTGCACATTCACATCAGTCCCTGCTGTCAAGGAGCTTACAATCTAAGGTCCCTCTCTCATATGCATACACACACACACACACACACACACATTATATACTAGGGCTGATTTAGACAGGAGCCAATTAACTTATCAGCATATCTTTGGAGTGTGGGAGGAAATGCACAGGGAGAACATGCAAACTCCATCCAGATAGTGTCCTGCTGAGGGCAGAGGTGCTAAGTCACTGTTAGGCTTTCATGTTTTAATACCTATAGTCTAGAAATGCACTTTTGCTGTTACATAACAGTACATTGATAACAATGTCTCAAAGTTAAGATGGTGTTGAGTGATTTGTATAATTTTGGTTGCTTTATTTGTTGTTTTTATTTGTACATATTACCTATGCTTGCAGATTTACAGAAGGTTAGTGCCATTAAAGTGTATCTAAAGCCAGAACATTTTTCTAGTTTTGGAGATTGTGTTAAAACCCCTGTCAAGATTCTGTTGCTGTGACTCCACTGGGGAGAGTCATTTGTCAGCTCACGGTCTTCTCCCTGCAGAGAGTAGTGACTGTTAGTCACCGCTCAGGGGCGTCCCGTGGCCGAGTGTCACCCAGAGCAGAGACCGGCTGACGCCCCACCGTGTCATCATCGTGCATGCGTGTGACGTCGCCACGCACGTGTCCCCTCCTCTCTCCTGACACTGTCGGGCTCTCGGTCTATGACCGAGTGCCCGACTTTTAGAGTGGGTGACACCAAAATGACTGTCAGTCATTTTGGTGTCACCCCTGCAATGGTGTCACCCGGGTGCGGGCCGCACCCCCTTGTGACGCCACTGTGACCGCTCCCTGAAGGATTCTCCCTTCCCCTCTCACTTCCTCCAGTGCTCATTGGAGGAACAGAGGATGAGGGGGTGGACACAGCTGAGAGGCAGAGAGGCAGAGGTAGAGAGGCAGAGCCAGCTGTCAATCAGGAAGTGGGATGGATCCTGTCAATATTGTCAGGATCTTTCCTGGCTGCAGCACGGCTCTGTGCTATCAGCAAATAACGGGCAGTAGCCTGCTAGATGCTGACTTTGGGTCACAGGAGTACATTAGTAAATGTACTCCTGTGACTCAAAAGTGAACTAAAGCCACACAAAAGAGATTTGGCTGTAGTTCCCTTTTAATGTTTGTATTCATCAAGCTGTTTTACATTTGTAATATAACTGGCATGAAGGACCCGCTTTAAATCCTTTAGATATACTCACATAACATCAGATTAGGCAGACATGTGGAGCCAGCCTGCTGACTTTTTCATACTGCAACAAACCTAGGTCACCTCTGTGCCCCCAGCCTGTGCCTGAACAATGTAGAAGCAGCAACAGACAAATAAGTTAACCTTTCTGCTTTCTTCTACTATCGGCATGTTCCTTGTCCACACACAAGCATGCAGAACACCTGATTGATTCCACCCACTGCCCCTTGTTCTTCTAGTCTGAGTGCTGCTGTATAATAGGGGATTACAAGAGGTAGATAGCAATTGAAATTCAGAAACTGACCTTAGTTCTATTTCATTTCATTTAATTATTTTAATTAACTGCATACATTGATTTCTTTTTAACTTTCAGCCCGGAGCTCAGCTTTAACATTACCTTACCAGCAAACATAGAGGGGCCTTTCAGCATAATAACTGAGGCCCTTACAATGTAGCATTTGTGTTTATTCAGAATAGCGTTCAGTAAATAGCTCCTAATGCACTTGACAAGGTTGCCAGATTCTCCAGCTGGATAATGCTGGCGAGGCTTCCTTAACAGCGCCCTTACCCTTTTTTCCCCAGATTTCTTAATCCCTGTAAAAGCCTCAGAAAAATGCACTCATTCCCCTGCTTGCTTCATTGTGGCCTGTTAAGCAGTTTATGTAACAATTCTTGTATAATGAATGGGCTATAGCTTGCTATTCATTGAGTGCCGGAGATGTGTCCCTCTGTAGAGCAAATCAGCATCATTCAAATTAACAAGGATGAAAACTCAAGTGCATGAAAGCACATCCATTCAATAACGTCATTGTGAAAGACAAATGGGAACTATCAAGTGGTCGTCACTGCCAGTGGTTAAAAGAGCAGAACAAAAAAAGATATCCTGAAGCCCATCCTGAAGGGTAAACGAGTGCAGATTATGAGGTTTGTGTACACAAAATGTATGTTATGTAACTTGTACTAAGTATGTAATGCAGTATTTATCATTTAATGTTTAGTAAATTTAAAGGAAAATATAAAATAGTGGGGTCAATTTTAAATTATTTTTCAAATGTTAGTTTTAATATTCTTATACCGATTCCACTGGTTTTATGCTCCTGACCATTCACAAAATGTAGTCTGGGGCTGTGTGTATTTTGAATGGCCTGGAGAAATGGCAGGTGCGTACATGACCACTGTGCTGGGGTCTACCAGAGCTGCGGCGCTTACATCCGAGTGCTGGAAGGGGGCTTTGAGTCAAAAGAAGGTTTAACAGCTTTAAAGTATTTTTAAACATATTTTTCAGTAATGAATCCAGATCAATCACATAGACATTGCCCAGCTTAGTATTTCTTTACGTTTTTGCTCAAGCACTTACTCATGGCTCCAGGTCTCTCAGTTCAGCTTCCCTGAACTTCCTGTCCAGTAGAAACTCATCATGGCAGCTTTCCATCTACTTGCTTGGATAATGAAGGAGGGATAAGAAGGGAGGAAGGGGAAGTAGAGAGCAAGGGAGTGGCTTGACTTGCCCTGCCTGTGTGTTTGTGGAAACATTCACAGCTTATTAGCACACACAAGGATGGCTTCATAGGACCCTGCAAGGGAAATGAGCCACCCTAAAACAGAATATCAGGACCAGTGCTCAGGGGATCAGCTGATTCTGCAGGAAACTAACAAGGTTATTCACGAAAGGGTAAAGAGTTTGGAGAAGTGAACAATCTAGGCCAACATAGCTGATTTGGAAAAATCCAATTCAGCTCACTTTCCGGCTCAGCTTTGTTGTCCTAGATTGTTCACTTCTCCTGCCTTCTCCAAACTCTTCACCCTTTTGTAAATAACCCTGTAAATCTTTTAAACACCAAGAGGCAGCCTCCATTATAAGGGATTTCATTATTAATGAAATAGCTCAAAACATTTTGACTTTAACCCCAATAAGCTTATTTTGCCTGGAGTTGCCTTCAAGTGAAAGGGTTTGCCTAGTTTTGCCATTCTTGTTCCCTGGCTTCGTCTAGCAATAACTTTATAAAAGTTTACAGTACTGTTCCGTGCTGGATGATCAAACCTAAAATAATTTCTTCTAGCTGTGTTTTTAATTTACTTAGGTTTTATTGTAGAAAATGTAGCCCTTACTCCCACATCATCCGAGTTAGTCATACTTCCCCTTGTTCTACACATGAAAGATGTCTTAAAACTTTGATGAAGACATCAAAATCATTGTCTCACCACGCAGATCATTTAATTAAAACAAGACAAAGAATAAAATAATCTGAGATCTTTGGGAAATTGAAACGACTCCTCCCTCTTATTTTATCAGTCACAAGTGAACCATCTGAAGAAGAAAGGTCTTAGCAGTATTGATTAATGATCTAGAAGGTCCAAGAGTAACCAGTGGAGCTGTGTACACATGCTGAATATGTCTGCCTGACTTGCATCTTTTGTTGTACTTTAGAACACACCAAGTTGTGGACTGAAGCAATGAGGATCCTCCACCAGCAGATGAAATGAAATCAATAGATTATGCTAATGTTCCAGAGCTGGAAGCCTTCTATACATCCCACTCAAAGGTAAGAATCAATATCTACTATATCAAATAAGCAACTGTGCACTTTTATACTGCATCAGCCTTTCAACAATCCATTTTAAATATTATATTATATTTAGCCCCATTTATACAAACACACAGAGGTCATATCTTTAAAATACCAAAATGTGACTTTTATGTGTGAATGTTACAAATGATGCATTCAGACAAATCTCTAAACCTTTAGATTGAGCTGGTTGATTGCTGGTGTGTGTGAACCTATACAGAAGGCACTGAGTGTTTTAACATACACCATCTGCCCAAGTATATACCTCATGTAAACATCAAAGAACATATATATATGTTCATGTACTTCATGTAAACATCAAAGAACAGATTCTTTTATTTGGTATCCGTGTCAAACACCAAAAAAGTGTTTGATGCATGCTAAACAATTCTTGATCGTATATCTAAACGTTAGCAGCTTTATATTGAAACACAAAGGATGTTTTGAGGAAGGATACTCTTTGTACAACAATAAAATATCTAATAAATAGCAATACTAGTCAAATGTAATTTGTTTTTGTATCACCTGGTGTTTGTGTTTGATATACTTTATTACTCAAAATAAGAAACTGCAGAAGTGACTCTATTTAATATAATGAGTTTTAGCATGATTGGATAAAGTCTACTTTTAAAAAAAATAATAATAAATGCACACATACTCATAAAAGAAAAAATGTGCATTTATTTTCTTTTTTCTTTTGAGCCAGTAAAGCACTGAGAGTCGCTCTTGCTGACTCTTCATCCCATCCCTGTCTATACCAAGGTACGGACAGGGCCGGCCCGTCAATGAGGCAGCCTGAGGCAGTTACGTCAGGCTGCATCTGTTGGGGGCAGCCGTATGGTGGTGAGAAGTGGCAGGGGGGCGGCCAGGTGGTGGTGAGTGGTGGCCACAGTGTCCCAGGTTGCTAAGAGCTCTTAGCAACCTGTGATGCTCTGTGTGGTCTCCAGCCCAGCTCACTGACATGACCAGCTGCCAAGAGCTGAGCTGGCTTGCATCCTGCGAAGCTCCTGGCAACCAGTGATGTCAGTGGGACTCCAGAAATAGCTGCTGACGATGTCCGCATTTACCCCCCTGAACAACAAGTGACCCAGTGACCAATAAGTCCCTTGAGAACAAATTTGCACATGTTTGGCAGATAAACATGTGGAATAGTTTTGCACATTGGGAATATTTGCGAGCATAATTAAAAGAAATGAACATATTTACCTTCCAACAAATGTTGTGGTGGCTTCCAGTCTGTGTAAGATGTGGTGCTGTTTTTGCCCCGCCCTAAAAAGGGGATATGGCCTTATATCGTTCTTCCTGTGACTCTACTGCGCATGCCCTGTGTGGTTAATGTCTGTTTCAACTTTGTGCATGCGGATAGGCTTCTGTTAGAGATCAAGAATGAAAATGTGCAACACACATATTTGTGCGCTACTGGATGTTATGGATTGAACGTGAAGAATTTCTATTGGAACATTGACTAGCAATTCCATGTGCATGAAAATATAAGTGAAGAATAGTGGACTTATAGTTGGGGGGAAAAAAACAAATGAATAAATAAATATATAAATTCATAAAACATGAATGAATATCTACATTTATATGCAGGGTATGAGAAAACATGGGAGGGGTCTCCAGCAGAACACTGAATAAAAGAAATAAAAGAAATAATGAGTCACCAGTAGAATTCCGAATTCCAACTTCATATTCCATGTTTTGAATTCCATGTTCCAAATTCCATATTCCGATTTCCATATTCCAAATCCTAATTTCCTAATTCCATATTCCAAATTCCAAGTACAGTATTTTGTATTCCAAATTCTGTATTCAGTATTCCGAATTCTGTATTCCATATTCCAAATTCCGAATTCCAGATTATGAATTACAATTTCTGTATTCATAATTTTGTATTCCGTACTCCGTATTCCATATTCCAAATTCCATATTCCAAACTCTATATTAAAAATTCTCTATTCCAAATTCCATGTTCCAGATTCTATAGTACGTATTCCAAATATTATATTTCCAATTCCGAAATCCAAATTTCATATTCCGTATTCCAAATTCCATATTCCCTATTCCAAATCCGTATCCCAAATTCCGAATTCTAAATTCCGAATTCCGTATTCCAAAACCTGTATTCCGAATTCCAAATTCTGTATTCCGAATTCTAAGTTCCATTTTCTGAAATCCCGTATTCCAAATTCGATCTTCCGAATTCCATTTTCCGTATTCCATATTTCAAATTCCATATTCCTTTTTCCGTATTCTAAACTCCATATTCCAAATTCCCTATTCCGTCTTCTAAATTCCAAATTCTGTATTCCAAATTCTGTATTCCAAATTCCTCATTTTGTATTCCAAATTCTGTATTCCATATTCCGTATTCCGAATTCCGTCTTCCAAATTCTGAATTCCAAATTTTGTATTCCGTATTCCGAATTCCGTCTTCCAAATTCTGAATTCCAAATTCTGTGTTCCGTATTCTAAATTCCGTATTGGGAATTCCAAATTCCTTTTTCTGAATTCCATATTCTAAATTCTGAATTCCAATTCCATACTCCTAATTCCGTATTCCAAATTCCATATTCCCAATTCCGTATTCCAAATTCCGTATTTCAAATTCTGTATTCTATATTCCAAATTCCATATTCTAAATTCTGTATTCTGAATTTAAAATTCCGTAATTAAAATTCTGTATTTCAAATTCCATTTTCCAAATTCCGTATTCTGAACTCCAAATTCCATATTCAAAATTCCGTATTCAAAATTACATATTCCGTATTGCAAATTCCAGATCCCAAATTCCCTTCTCCTTTTTCCAAATTCCGCAATACGTATTCTGAATTCCGTATTCCAAATTCCTTATTCCAAATTCTGTATTCTGAATTCCAAATTCCATATTCTAAATTCCGTATTCCAAATTCTGTATTCCGAACTCCATGTTCCAAATTCCCTATTCCGTCTTCTAAATTCCAAATTCTGTATTCCAAATTCTGTATTCCAAATTCCTCATTTTGTATTCCAGATTCCGAATTCCAGATTTCAAATTCCAGATTTCAAGTTTCCCGAATTCCGTCTTCCGAATTCAAAATTCTATATTCTGAATTCCTAATTTGTTTTCTGAATTTCATTTTCTAAATTCCATATTCCCAATTCCATATTCCTTATTTCGTATTCTAAACTCCATATTCCAAATTCCCTATTCCGTATTCCAAATTCCATATTCCTTATTTCGTATTCTAAACTCCATATTCCAAATTCCCTATTCCGTCTTCTAAATTCCAAATTCTGTATTCCAAATTCTGTATTCCAAATTCCTCATTTTGTATTCCAAATTCTGTATTCCATATTCCGTATTCCGAATTCCGTCTTCCAAATTCTGAATTCCAAATTTTGTATTCCGTATTCCGAATTCCGTCTTCCAAATTCTGAATTCCAAATTCTGTGTTCCGTATTCTAAATTCCGTATTGGGAATTCCAAATTCCTTTTTCTGAATTCCATATTCTAAATTCTGAATTCCAATTCCATACTCCTAATTCCGTATTCCAAATTCTGTATTCCGAACTCCATGTTCCAAATTCCAGATTCCGAATTCCATATTTCAAATTCCATATTCCATTTCCCATATTCCAAGTTCCGTATTCCAAATTCCGTCTTCCGAATTCAAAATTCTATATTCTGAATTCCGAATTTGTTTTCTGAATTTCGTATTCCAAATTCCATATTCCAAATTCTGTATTCAGTATTCAGTATTCCAAATTCCATATTCCAAATTCTGTATTCAGTATTCAGTATTCCAAATTCCATATTCTAAATTCCGTATTACAAATTCCATATTCTGAACTCCAAATTCCATATTACAAATGCCATATTCCAATTCTGATAGAACTACAGTAGAACTACAGGGGGGAGGTTATTACACCCCTGACTAAGACTGCACAGTAGCTAGTGGTCTAACAGAAAGGAAATAAAGGAAGCAAAGGGCAGGAAGTACAGGCTTCTACCATGGATTTCTGGAAGACTACATTGCTATGCAGAAGGGTAAGCACATAGCTACAGTAGCTGACATTTTTTTTTCCTGGAGTTCATCTGCCCACAATGCATTCAAGTACCTTAAATATTAACATAAATGTATCTTATTTGTATATAACTGTCCTTTCTTCTGGAGGGTGGCTACTTTTGTTCTCCATGGTCCCTGTGTGTGTTGTAAAGTAGCCACCGCTCCAAGCTCACTCCTGTGATAGACTATAACTTCAATACAAATTAGAAAACTAAACATGAGATTGTAGTCTATCATAGTAAATTTTCTCTAACTGGTGACAATATTTACCAGGACAAACAGAGGTGGAATTTGCCCAAAGGGGACAAAGACAGCAAAGAAAGAGAGTCTAACCTTAGACTTTAATGTGATTGGTTGCTAGTGCTTACAGTGTTTTACACATTACTGTTGCTCTAGCCACTTAGGTACAAATAGTTATTCCCAGTAAGAAATTATTCTGTGATTAAACAATGTTCAATACAGCTAGAACCATGAAATGTAAGAACATTGAAACATTCCAAGCATTTTATTTTTGCTATATTAATTTAATGCTGTTCATAAAGTCTATGCATCTTCAATCATCTGATAGCTGGAGTCACAGTCAGACTCCTGAGGGCATTCTTGCATTCTGTTCTGTACCACATTTGGCCCATCCAGATGTTCAGCACTCATGCTGAACTTTTTAATCACTCATACATTATAAGAAGTTGAGGTCTGCAGCATACATATCCTGATTATCTAGAAATAATATGTAAAATTGCCCAGTCTGCCCTATAAGAGGGATCTGAACTAGTATGCCTCTGAGCAGCATTCGGCTCGGCTACCTCTATTCTGCTCGGTACCTCTGTGGTACGGAGCAGAATAGAAAAACAGTTAAAAAAAAGTACGGGCTATAGTGAATACTGAACCGAAGGCCTCCCGAAACCAAAGCTAGCCGAAGGATCAGCC